AAAAAAAAAAAAAAAACAAGGAAGAAAGAAAGCAAGCCAGGAAATGGTGTTAAGAAACAAGTGCCCAGCCAGGCTTGTGGTAGAGGATTGTTCGAGTCCAGGATTTCAAGAACAACCCAGACACACTCTAACTATAGCACTCTGGGAGGCTGAGGCAGGAGGAGCCCAAGTACCAGCCGGACTTGAGCATTTTAGAGCCTTAGTGAGACCTTGTCTCAAAATTTTAAAAATGGGCTGGGGATGTAGTCCAGTGCAAAGGCCCTGGGTTGCCATGAAAAGAAAAAGAGGGCGAGGGAGAAGATAGAGGGCGGGGAGGGAGAAGGATGCTCGAAGGAAGGAAGATGAACCTTTGGCTTTGAAGCCGCAGCCACAGAACCTCCCCAGGGGCTGTGATTTCAGGGGGCAGCGTCTAACTTTCTTTCCACGGACCTCACTACCTGCAAAGCCTGGGACTTCAATCATCAGCAGAAGCCAGACGTTTTCCTATCATATTCCGGCTGCGGCACATATCTTGAAATATCACTAGGCCGGACCCACGGACCCACCTTTCACGAACTCTGCGGCTCTCCCACAACCTTTCCTGGGCTGCTGCATCACACGGGGGCAGGAGTCTGTCTTCGCGATCGTTGGAGAGCCCTGGTGGACACCTGGCTTCCTCTGCAATCCTGCGGCCACTTCAGGCGTTTATCAATAACCATCCATCAAGAAGGGTCCACAGCAGCCAAAGAATTCGGACCTCCTGACCCAGGCAGAGGGGCCCGGGTGCAGGGGCGCTGCAGGGAGCTCCACGCCCAGGTGACAAGCGCTGCGGTCCTGGCGGGGACAACACAGAATCCCCTGCACCCTGCACAAGTCGCTCACATCTGCGCTCCCGCGGGGCGGCTCTGTGGCCCGGGCCCCTCTCTCCTTCCGGCCCTGCTTGCTGCCTTTCCCTCGGGTCTAGGACTGCAGGACCCACCGCTCTACCAGCCTCCAGACTCCTCCCACAACCCTCGGAGGGCGTTCCCGTGTCCACCCCCTGCCCCGGCCTGTCCAGAGCCCACGTCCCCGGGTCCCCACCCCACTCCATCCAACCCCTGCACACCTGTCCCGCTCCCCAGTCCCCACCCCTGGCAGGTGGCCCCACCCACCGAGCTTGGACCAAGCCTGCCCTGGCCGTGCAGAGACCTGCCCCCTGGGCTTCTGTCACCCCCTGGACACTCACTTCTCTTTCTGCACCTTCAGGGACCTGTGGTCAGCCGCGGCCCTGGCTATGCGAGTGGGCCCTTCTGGAAGCAGCCCAGCCACCGTGTGCTGCGAGCTCCTCCCTCCCGCCAGCAGCTCGTCCTGCAGGATGGACGCAGCCTGGGGTCCAGCATCTCCATCCCAAGTGAGCCCCTAGCCCATGGGCCACACAGCGGCCACAAGCTCCAGGGACCCCACCCAGCAGCTGGGGGTCCCGTCACCACCACACCTGTCACCACCAAGAGGGAGAGGACACAAACTACTTCGAGAGACCATAGTCACATGATGTTTACGACAGTATGTTGTTCTTCCATTTTTAACTGCTTCCTAATTTGAAAATTAAACTTTATTGCTGGGTGTGGTGGCGCACGCCTATAATCCTAGCTGTCAGGAGGCTGAGGCAGGAGAATCGCTGTGAGTTCAAAGTCAGCCTGGGGTACACAGTGAGTTCAAGGCCAGCCTGAGCTACACAGTGAGAGCCTGTCTCAAAAAATTTTCTTTTTTTAAAATGTGACATGGTTATCAAATGCCTAGTCCTGTGGGAGGTCTGACCTGAAGCTCCAAAGCTGTTGGAGCTCATATCCTCCAAGTAACTAAAATGTACTTGCTCTGAATTACCAGATCATGGACTCCCTGAGGCCAGAGAATACGTTTTGGCAGTCCTTGCAATCTCCACACTCTCTTGCAACACCTTCCCCTAGCAGGTGAATCATCAGGGAACAAGGCAAACCAAAAGGAGAAAGAGTACAGGTAGGTATCGGTGTGCACCGCTCAGCGTTACCTATCACGGGACAACAGCCACGACCCAAAGGGTACAAGGAGTACGAGGCTCACGGTTCCAGGGGTCCAGTGCACAGTCGGCCGCTCCGAGGAGCATCGTGCAGAAGCGGGGGTGCGTTTCCCGGTTTGTGGCAGCTGGGAAATAGAGCGAGGGAACAGGGCCAGAGAGGAAGGGGTGAGGGACCAGATACAGAGCCAAGGCCAGGTTTCCATGACCCATCCGGACACATCCCAGAGGCTGCACTGAAGCCAGCCACAGTGACATCCAGCTTAGCTTTCTCTCTGCAAAGCCCCGTGTGGAATGCTACTCCCCGTCACACACCCACGGTCTTGAGCCAGAGGCCCAGGCTCGAGCCCGGGGCTCACACTGCTCAGGCGTCCGTCTCAGGAGCAGCAGTGGAGCCCAGGAGGGGACGGCAGCGCATCCTTCGTCTGCCTCCCCAGGGGAGCGCCACGCATCTGCTCTGAAGAGGAAGCATCGCTGTGGATTTCTTTACAGTCAATGTGAAAAAAAGAAAAAGAAAACAACAAAAATCTCCGGAGCTGGGAGGCATTGCTAGTTGATGAAGGATCAGAAGACACGCAGGGCCCCATGGTGTCAGCACAGCCCTGTCCGTCAGGAGCACAGTGCGTCCGCTGTGTTTAAAGCCTGCACCCACAGGGAGGGGACTTTCCCCATGGTGCCTCTGCGGCTCCGTTCTCAGTGCACCAAACATCAAACACGTGCCACAAAGTGCAAAGCCCCACGTTGGGTTCAATCCCCAGGACTGCAAACACACGCGCACACACACCACTGGGCCAGCTGCAGCAGTGCCAGACTGCGATCCTAGCAGTCCAGGAGGCTGAAAAAGGAAGATCGTAAGTTCTAGTCCAGCGTGGACAACTTAGCATCTTACTGAGACTCTGTCTCCAAATTATAAAATAAAAATAAAAGCCGGGCATGGTGGCGTACACCTATAATCCCAGCACTCGGGAGGCTGAGGCAGGAGGAGCTCTGTGAGTTCGAGACCAGCCTAGGCTACACAGTGAGTTCCAGGTCAGTCTCAACTACATAGTGAGACCCTGTCTCAAAAAACCAAAACCAAAAATAAAATAAAAATAAAAAGGGCTGGGTAGGTAGCTGAGCACAAAGGCTCTCGGTTCTGTCCCCAGTACTGCAAAAAAGAAAAAAGAAAAAAAAAAACAAAAAAAACCAGCACCGCAGATCCCAGCTCGGTCCCCAGGCCACCTGCCCAGGAAGAATCCCAGCCCCAGTCCTGAGTGAGGCTCACAGCAGCCACCGGCTGGGACCCGGGAGTTTCCCAGGTCCCCAGAGCCACCCTCGAGCCAACAGCTTGAGTTCCCTATGGCTTGCAGGAAGCCCAGGGACCCAGAGCCCCATGGCACAGGTCAGACGCAGCCACCTCTGTGTGGAGCAAAAGAGTCGAGGACTGGCCAGCTGCTCCATGGTGACAGCCACGGAGAATTTTACCTCCCTGCACATACAACCTAATGAAAACAGGAGAATATCCTATCTGTAATACGGAGGAAGAATAAAAGTGACTTGGAAAGAAAATAACAGTCATTTAGAATAAAGTAGGAGTCATACCTCCACTCGTCTAGCAAATGTTCATCACGCCTCCTGCCAGGCACCATTGTAGTTGCTGAGCAGTGAACAAATCCAGCGGGAAGAGGGATGGGGACGTGGCGGGTGGGGGCCGAGACCTTCCTGGAAATCGCAGGGGGAGCAGCAGGGGGGTCCCGTAAACACTGATATCCGTGGACACTGCGGGGCTAGGTGCTGGGCTGGGGAGAGAGCAGGCAGATCTTCTGGGCAGTTGTCCTCCCGGGGGGATGGGGCTGACTCCACCGACTGTCCAGGAATGAGGACGTCAGGAACCCGTCTCTGAGAGCCGTGAGCCAGCGGGAGGCTGGGCAGCCACAGGTAGAAAAGCCAGGCTGTCACATCCTCACAGGAGACCTGGGGTGGGGCGGCCAGGCGGCTCATTCCCAGGCCCGGCCTCACAGGAATCCCAGGAAGTACTTCCGGGGTCAGGGGAATACTTCCTGGGTCAAGAGATGTTTCTGGATTCAGGCTAGAAATGTTTGCCGAAGCACATACGTGCAAGGAGACGCTCCATGGCCTCCCAGATCGTGGGACCTCCAGACACTAAAACTGAAGGCAACTTCCAGGCATCCCCTCACCTTCCTCCTCATCCACTCCACGTTTGCTTAGCCTTTCTAGCATGTTCTTTGCCCTCACACCCTCACTCCTGTCCTGTGCTCATAACACCCTGAGAGGCCAGCCCTGTCCACCCTGCACAGAAAGCCCGCATACCTGCTGCCCCAACTACCCTCTACCTTTGCTGTATCGGTGCCTCTCCTTGGAGTCGTGTTTCACATTTACTGGGTTCTTCCTTTATTGTCTGTTTTTGCTATTTTATCCTGCAGGGCAAGGACTCTGCTTAGTTCACTGCTGTAGCAGGACACAGTGCCTGACGCACAGTAGGCCTCCGACAAGTGTGTCTGAGACATCATTTCTATCCAGGGACGCGCTGGGTGCAGTGCCTACCGGCTCCTAAGAGCCCATGGCAAGGTGTATTCCACGATACGATGTGGGGCGCACATGGGGGGTCCGCCTCATTGGAAGGATTTACACCACAGCCACGGGCCAGGGCTCGGTCTGCAAAGATTTTCCTGGGACATCAGTGGCTAAACATGGACCAGCACCTCCCGACACACACATGTGTGTTACTAGAATAATCTCCTGTGTTGAGAGGTCGTTCCACACAACTCCGAAGAAAACACACTCATTAGAGGGACCAAGAGCCCGCTGTTCAAATTCCAAGTTGTTCTTTCTGTGGCAGGTCTAAGAGCAGAGCTGAACGGCAAAAACCAAGCCAACACCGTCTGTGTATCCATCCGCTGCACACTAAGTGTTGATTTTAATGCATTCTTAATGACACCATCTAAGCGATGACAAGTTTGTTTTTTGTTTTTTGGTTTTTTTTTGGTTCTAGCAATTAAAAAATGGCAATTGCTAGTCATTAAAACAAGGAAGTAGACAAATAGCTGTGATAATTACCCCATTTTTCTCTGCAGAGAAAACAGCAATACTGTATATAGTCATTTTTGATAAATACAGAAAATAAGAAATTATCGCCAGAGCTACTCGTTATGAGTTACGATTCCAGGTCTCACTCCTGCAAACTCTGTCCATTGCTTGGAAATCACCGTCCTCATCATGAGCTCCCCCTGCGCCCCGGGCAGGCACAGGGTCAGCCTAGAAACTCAGGAAGCCATGCCTGAAAGGGTGACCTTCCCCGATGTGGGAGGGCCGGAGGAGGAAGGAGAAAGAGCTGGGACTCCGCCCCCACCGGCCCCGGCCTGTGTTACTGTCTCACCCTGACTGAACCCGGGGCTCGGCAAGCCCGGCCCTAGTGGAAACTAAATTCTTCTGGATTCCAATGGAGCCATTAGCATCCAGCAGCGGCCCCAGTCTAACACAATGCATTTTGCTTTCATTTGGCCCAAAGGTTAATTATGCAACACTGCTTAATAATCGGGGTCATCGGGGGCGTACAAGATGTACGCACGGGAAGGAAGTCTTCCCTTTCGCCTTGTCACGTTGGTGCTCGAAAGAAGCCAATGTCCAAGCGCTTCAGATTTTGGATTAGGGACACGCAGCCTCTTATAAAGAACCGGGGTGACATCAAAGATCTGTGGACAAACCCCGATGCTGGGGTTCAGAGAGGCCTCCCTCCCTCCCTGGTCTTGGTTCTTTCACTTGGGCAGGCGGATTGGACCAGTGAGGCACACTATACAGGTCCACCAGGGCCTCTGTGACGACCGCCACGGCTGGGACACCGGCTTTAGCGACCGGGACGTTTTGTGTCCCCAGTGCTCTGGATCATCTGAACAGCAATTTATGCCGCCTCCCGGTGACCGCGGGGCCTTGTGCCCCTGTGACGTTTGGAAGTTGCCTTCCTTTCCTTATCACGAGCTGAGACTTAGCTCCCGAGGCCCTGGCCAGTGCGGAGAGTGTAGGAGTGTGTGAGTGTGACCGGAATAAACACATTCAGGACAACACGGATGTCCTGGGTGCCAAGTGCGTGCCGTGGATTCCGCGTGGAGTTAGAGAGCAGAGTCCCCAGCTGCGTGGGGCTCGTGGCCCGGAGCACTGGAATCTGTGGACCTGGGAGACACAGGGGTTAGAGCCCCAGAAAATCAGCACTCAGGTGTGTGGTGGCACAGGCCACGCCAGCCCAGAAATGCACGCAGCACAGCATTGTGGCTCCACAGCCTCACCGAGCAGATGTGTGCGTGTGTGCATGTGTGTGCATGTGTGTGTGCGTACATCCACAGGCCACCACTGCAAATTTTGCCATTTCTCCTAACACTTGTCCTGTTACTGAAATGTTCTCTTACCCACGGGTGCACAGGTTAAGCCAGTATCTAACCTAAGTAATAATCTCCGAAATGCTAAGGTGGATGAGGATGTTTACTACTTTGTGGTGACGAGATTTGTGTACCCCAAAGCCTCACAGGCTGAAATCCTAACCCTCCCCCAGTACAATGGGATCGGGAGTCCAGGCCGTGGAAGGTGACCGCGTCAGAAGGGTGGGGCCCACACCGCTGGACTCGGCCCTGTAAAGGGGCCCGGGAGCTGCCCGGCTCTTTCCCACCTGTGAGGACCCAACGCCAAGTCAGCAGTGAGCAGCCCTCCCTCCCCGCCCCCCGGTGTGCAGGCACCGTGAGCGCAGACTTCCCTCATCCAGGACGATGAGGGGCACTGGGTTTGCCACCTGAGCCCCCGGCCTGAGCTGCTTTGTTCCAGGAACCCAGCTGACCGAGACTCGAGCACGAAGCGATCTGAGTCACGTTCAAGTCTGCCTGGACGCCACGCAAACCAGCCGTGTGTGCGACACCGGAGGTCAGAGGGTGAGGGTGGCAGCTGCCTTCAAGCACTGTAGCACAGGTCAGTTTTGCTCACGTCACATCCGGTGCCAGGATGAGGAAGGGAGTCCCCACCGGGCCACCCCAGCTCTCGGGTTTCATCACTGGAGAGGCGCCCTCACCCCGCGGAGCTGTGAAGGCCGCCCTGGTTGCTCTACATGCGGCTGACTGGTGAGGGAAGAGGTGGCTCAGGCATCCCACAAGGGCCAGCCGGGTGACCTTGCCACAGCAGGGGCGCTGGGACACGGGTGGGCCCATGGCCCAGAGTGAAAGAAGACGCTTCATCTTTGGTGAAGATCTAGCATTACCTGTGACTCCCGAGAGAAGAATCCCTGTTCTGTAAACACATGACAAGGATGCCCATCTGATAACTGAGGAAATGGAGGCCCAGGAGAGTTCCGGGTCCTGTCCTGGTGACACCGCTGTTAGAAGCCACGGTTCTGCCTGGTGTGAAGGCCTCGCTCCCCACCCCAGACCTTCCGGGTGCGTCTGTGCCTCAGGGTCAAGCTCGGGTCATCACTCTGCTCACTTTCCCAGTCCCATCACCTTCTCCTTCGGAATTTCCCGGAGAACGAGTCTCCTGACCAAGCCAGAAAACCGGACGTTCTAGAACTTTCCTGTTTCCATTATAAGGCTTTTAACGGCAAGTAATAAAAGATCCAACTCAACATGGTTTGAAAAACTAGGAAATGTCCCATTTCCTATGAAAAGCAAGTCCCTGAATATGACAGTTCCAGGACTGCTAAGTGTGATGCAGCCCCAAGGACCAAGTTCCTGTTCTTCCTCAGCCACCTCAGCCTGACTCCACCCAGGGTCCCAAGATGGCTGCCCTGGTCTCAGGTAACACATGTAGACAGCAACATCCGGAAGAGAAAAGGAAAGATTCCACACAGTGGTCTCCACTACAGAGCAAAGAAACCCTTCCCAGCAGAGTGACAGTGGAGCGCTCCTTCACACATCCTGGTGTCACACGCCATTCCTGAACCAGCTGTGGGCAAGGACTTGCCATGGAACTCCCAACATGGCCGCCTTCTGCACCAGCCGGCCACCTGACAGCAGACCCAGAACCAAGGTGGCGCTCTCCTGGAGAGAAAGATGGGGCGTGAGTGTTTGCCATACGGTACGGCACACTCGCCTCTTCTTTATTCCCATTCCCCAAGCTGTCAACATTCCTCCCTTCATTTCTCTTGGTTCCATGTCTTACTTGAAAGTCCACTTAGGCCACCATAATTTAAAACCTCCAAGCCGGGTGTGTAGTGGTGCACGCCTGTCATCCCAGCACTCAGGAGGCTGAGGCAGGAGGATTTCTGTGAGTTCAAGACCTGCTTGGGCTACGTAGTGAGTTCCAGGTCAATCTCAACAATGCAGTGAGACCCTGTCTCAAAAAACCAAATAAATAAATAAATAAAATTTTAAAAACCCTCCATAACTTGGACAAACCTCTCCTAATGGGAAATGACTTTATTAACACATACATGACTCCTCAAACGCCAAAAAGAAAACATTCTTCCTGCCTTACAGTTTGTACTGTCTATCACTTCTCGGCATTTGGCTAAGATCAAGTATAGTTTGCACTGTCTAGTGTTTCTAAAAGTCTTTTCCTTTATAAATATATGAAGATTAATTTAATCATGGTTTTTGTGTAAATGGTAAAAAAAGATAAAGAAATTCTAAAAGTGAGATGCAGAGGTAATGGCTTGGTACTGTATGTAGTGCTCTTTGCTTTTGAAAATAATTATGACTTGAATTGTTATAGAATCTGGATTTTGAAGATAATTAATTTTATTTTAAAGTAGTTCAAGGGAGAGATGCACAGCACATATATTAGGAGCCAAATGCCATATGAAAAATTCATGAGATGCATTATCACAAAAACAGAAGTACGTGTGTATCATACACATTCCAAACCAAACCTGCGGCTCTCCTCCTATCTGACAATGTGGTGAATGGTGATTTTATTCTCTGAGCTCTCTGAGCTCCTTGTGCTTCAGTTGTGTTACTGCCAAGTAACAAATTTCCCCAAACTGAACACCTTCCACCACGCACCGTGACTTC